ATGCTATATTATCACCAGATTATTAGTCTGGTCCTGTGGATTACTAGTTCAGGCAACATTACAAGTACATACAAACAGAACCTTAGAAAATAGGAACAGGAGTAGGCCATTTGAACCTGCTCCACCATTCAATATGATCATGGCTGATCGTCCAACGCAGAACCCTGTTCTTGCTTTCTCCCAAGTTTTTTGATGCCTTTAACCCCAAGAACTATATGTAAACCCTTCTTGAAAACGTTCAATGTTTTGGCCTTTCTGTGGCAGAGAATTCCACAGGCTCACCACTCTGTGGGTGAAGACATTTTTCCTCATCTCAGTCCTACCATGTATCCTTAAACTGTGACAACTCGGGTTCTGGACTCCCCCTGTCATCAGGAACATCCTTCTTGCATTTACCCTGTTTAGTCCTGTTAGATTATTGTGGTGTCTACCATCTTCTGTTCGCATTGTAGAACCTTTCCCCAAAATCTAGACTAGAACAGCTCCACAAGCACTGACCACTCAACTGTGCTTGGAGAGATCAGCTGCTAATGACTGTAGATTCCCCCAGCAGCCACAGGTGGCAGGTCATTCAACCATAGAATGCATCACTGCCTCACTCCACGTAAGCACTTTCCAGAAGGGGTAACCAGAGAGACTCAGAATATCACGTGGCTGACACGTCTCTTGCAAGGCCTGGGGGTGTGGAAACTCTCAGTAGCGATCCCCCAATGTTCCGACAAATTCAGAACAGAGCATGAGAAACCCAGGATCTCTGCGTCTCTTCCCAACACCAGCGTAGCCACTGAAGCATCCACGCGACTGAGCTCCAGGAGCGCCACAGCAATGTAACAGATTTCCTCAACTCTATCGTACCTCTTGGATTTTCAAAGCTGACAGCGGCATTGGAACTCGATTACTGTGCCTTGCTGGTTGGCCTGGAGTCTGAAGCCACTGAAGAAACTATTCAATGAGATTAAACATCTGTCAATCAACAAGCAAGATCACAATATTTCATAATATTCTCTCTCTTTCCACCACCAGTGGAAAGTGGATGCAGTGTCAATGAGATGTACTTGGACAGAACCTCCAAAACGCGCAACCTCTAACAGTAGCGGGAGGCTCAGTAGTATTGCCACTGGACTAATAATCCAGAGTTCCAGGTTCGAATCCCATCACAGCAGATGGTGGATACTGAACTGAATAAAAACCTGGAATTAAAAGTCTAATGATGAAACGATAAGCAATTGTTGCAATGTCCTTTCGGAAAGGAAACTGCTGTCCTTGCCCCGGCTGGCATAACCGGCCTCTAAAATCAAAGGCTAAAAATAAAAAGAAAAGGAACGAAACCAACAGACTACCTGGCAACAACTAAGGCACCGCAAACGACAACAGCGAACTCAGCCCTATCCACCTTAAAAGTTCCTCCTTAATAATGTCTAAGCCTTAGTGCTGAAATTGGAAGAGCTGTCTTGCAGACTAGTCAAGCAAGAGTCTGATAGAGTCATACCTCATAGAATCATATCTTAAGAACAAAGAATAGTACAGTACAGCATAGGCACTTTCTAAACCAAAAACCTTTTGCCTTTGTGTAGTCCATATCCCTCTATACCCTGCCTATTCATGTATCTGTCAAGGCACTTCTTAAATGTTGCTGTTATATCTGTTTCTGCCACCACCTCTGGCAGCGCATTCCAGGCCCTTACCACTCTCTGAATAAAAGATCTGCCTCTCACATCTCCTTTAAACTTTCCCCCTTTCACCTAAAGCTAGGTCCCCTAGTTATTGGCATTTCTAACCCGGGAAAAAGGCTCCTACAATCCATTCCTCTTATAATTTTGTAAACCTCTATCAGGTCGCTTCTCAGCCTCCAACGTTCAAGTCAAAACAAATAGAGTTTGTCCAATATCTCCTCATAGCTAATACCCTCCAAAACAAGCAACATCCTGGTACCTTTTCTGTACTCTCTCCAAAGCCTCCACATCCTTCCTATAATGTGGCAAAACTGTATGCAATATCCCAAATGTGGCCAAACTAAAGTCCTATACAGCTGTGACGTGACTTGCCTATCGTCATACTCTATACCCCAACCGATGAAGGGGAGCATGCCATATGCCTTCTTGACCACCTTATCCACTTGTGTTGCCACTTTCAGGGAACAGTGGACCCATGCACATTGATCCTTCCGTATGTTAATGCTTCTAAGGGTTCTGCCATTTACTGCATTCTTCCCTCTTGCATTACACCCTCCAAAATGCATCACCTTGCATTTGTCCAGATTAATCTCCATCTCCCATTTCTCCATCCAAGTCTCCAGCTTCTCTATATCCTCCCGAATCCTCCTCACTATCCGCAGCTCCCCCAATCTTTGTGCCATCCACAAACCTACTAATCAGGCCACCGACATTTTTATCCAAATCATTTATATAGATTACAGACAATGGGGATCCCAGCACTGATCCTTGCAAACACCACTGGTCACAGATCTCCAGTCAGAAAAACACCCTTCCACTGCTACTCTCTGTCTTCTATGACTAAGCCAGTTCTGTATCTGTCTTACCAGCTCACTACAGATCTCATGTGACTTCACCTTCTATATCAGCCTGCCATGAGGAACCTTGTCAAAGGACTTGCTGAAGTCCATGTAGATAACATCCACCGTTCTGATGGTGTTTTCAGACAACACCATCATCATCATTCCATCAACAGGATGATCCAACAGAGGTGGCAGCACAGTGGTATACAGTTGGGAGGGAACTGCCCTGGGAGTCCTCAAAATTGACTGCGGACGTCATGAAATCTCATGGCATCAGGTCAAACATGGGGTGAGGAAATAGTCTGCCGAAAACCACATACCATCCTCCCTTGGCTAATGATCCAGTACACCTCCATGCTCCATGGTTGAGGAAGAACTGAGGATTCCCTAGGCACAGAATATTCTCGGATAGGGGGGCTTCAATTTCCACTGCCAAGACTGGCTTAGCTGCACCACTAGTGACCCTGATGGTTGAGTTCCAAAAGGATAGAGCTGTTGGGCTGGGTCCGTGGTAGACAGTCAGGGAACCAAGAAGAGGGAAAAACATACTCGACCTCATAATCGCCAATCTGCCTGTCACAAAAGCATCTGTCCACGATGGTATCGGTATGAGTGACCACCACACAGTGCTTATGGAGATGAAGTCCTGCCTTTACATTAATACCACCTTCCATCATTTGTCTGACACTGTCACCCTGACAAATAGGATAGGCTTTGAACAAATCTAGCACCTCAAGACCAGACATTCATGAAGCACTGTAGGCCATCAGCTGCAGCCAAATTGTACTTCAATGCAATTTGCAACTTCATGATCCTGCGTTCCCCCCCACTCTACCCTTAAGCCAGGGGATCAACCCTGGTTTAAAGAAGAGTGCAAGAGGGCATGACAGGCATACTTAAAAATCAGATGTCCATCTGATGAAACGACAAAACCAGACTCCTTGCATGTCAAACTGTGTGAGCAGCAAGTGATAGACAGAGATAAGTGATTCCACAAGCTGCAGATCAGATCGAGGCTCTGTGGTCCTACCACATTTAATCCTGAATGGTGGTAGACAAGTATACAACTCGCTGGAGGTGGCCCCACAGATATCCCCATCCTTAATGATGGGGGATCTCAGCACATCAGTGCAAAAAGATAAGGCTGAAGCACTTGCAACAATCTTCAACCAAAGATGCTGCATGAATGATCCATCTTGGCTTGTTCCAGAGATCCCCAGCATCTCACATGCCAATCTTCAGCTAATTCAATTCACTCCATGTGATATCAAGAAATGGTTTGGATTATTGGATATTGCAAAGTCAATGGGCCCTGACAATATTCTGGCAATAGTACTAAAGACCTGGGCTCCAGAAATTGCTGCACCCCTAACCAAACTGTTCCAGCACAACACTGGCATTTACCAGACAATGTGGAAAATTGTCCAGATACGTCCTATACACATAAAGCAGGACAAATCCAACCTGGTCAATTACTTTGCCATCAGTCTACTCTTGATCATCAATAAACTGATGGAAGGTGTCATCAGCTTATCAACAACCAGCTCACTGACATTCAGTTTGGGTTCCAACAGGGTCACTGAGCTCAAGACTTATTACAGCCTTATTCCAAACATGGATAAAGGAGCTGAATTCCAGAGGTGAGGTGCGAGTGACTGTTCTTGACATCAAGGCTGCATTTGACTGAGTTTGACGTCAAAAGTGATAACAAAATTGGAGTCAAAGGAATTTGAGGAAAACTTTCTGCGTTACTGTACTTGGCACAAAGGAAAATGGTTGCGGTTGCTGAAGATTTTGTCATGTCAGCTTCAGGACATCTCTGCAGGAGTTCCTCAGGGCATATTTTTCAAATCAACCTGTTCAGAGATGCTGTTACACACCTCTGGAGCAGATGGGTCTCCTCACCCAGAGGTGGGGCCACTATTATTGCTCCACAAGTGAACTAGTCCCTCAGGATAGTGTCCTTAGCTCAACTATGTTAAGCAGCTTCATCAATGGCCTTCCCTCCTTCATAAGGTTTGAAGTGGGGATGTTTGCTAATGAGTGCACAATGTTCAGCACCATTTGCAACTTCTCAGATACTGATATAGGTCATGTCCGAATGCAGCAAGACCTGGATAATATCCAGATTTGGGTTGGCATGTGGCAAATAACATTTGCACCAGACAAATGCCAGGCAATTATGAACTCCAATAAGAGACAAACCAACCACCGCCTCTTGACATTCAAAGGTGTTACTATCACTGAATCCCCCAGTATCAACATCCTGGGGGCTACCAATGACCAGAAGCTGAACTGGAGTGTTTTGAAGAAGGGTCACTGGACTTGAAACATTAACTCTGTTTTCACTTCATGGATGCTGCTAGTCCTGCTAAGTTTATCCAGCAATTTCTATTTTAGCCAGCTAAGTACTGTGGCTACAAGAGCAGGTCAGAGGCTAGGAACTGTCAAGAAACTTGACACCATCCAAAACAAAGCAGCCAATTTAGCTGGTACCAAATCAAAAACATTCACACCTTCCAACGCTGATGCTCTGAAGCAGCTGTGCATACCATCTACAAGTTGCACTGCAGAAATTTAGACAGTACTTTCCATAACCCTCCCACTACCATCTAGAAGGACAAGGGCTGTAGCTATTTGGGAACACCACCACCTTCTGGAAGTTCCCCTCCAAGCTGCACACAATCCTGACATGGAAATATATTGCTATTCCTTCAGTGACACTCGGTCAAAATCCTGTTCCCCTTCTTAATGGTATTGTGGTTCTACCTACACCAAATGGACTGCAGTGGTTGCAAGAAGGGGGTCGTTACCACCTTCTCAAGGGCAACTAAGGGGCGGCAATAAATGCTGAACCTGCAAGTGATGCCCACGTCCCATGAATGACTACATAAAGCTAGGGGGACAAGGGCTGCAGACACAGTACAGCAGCACTACCTACAGGTTCTCCTCTGAGCTGCACACTGTCTTAACTTGGAACTATATCACCAACAATTCAATGTTGCCAGATCATTGGGAAACTTCCTTCCCTAACAGCACCATCAAAAATCCCCCATTGCCACTTTTTACCAAGGACAATGAATTCTGGAAGAAACAAGAATCATGACTGATACTCCAGTGTGCCCCTGACGGTGCTCTGCACTGTTGTAGATGCCATCTTTTGCAAAAATTATTAAATTCCATCTACCTGCTCAGGTGGATGTGCAAGATCCCATGGAACTGTTTGAAGGATAGCAGGGGAATTCTCCCAGGCATCCAGGGCAATATTTTTCCCTCAATCAACATGACAAAATTAGATAATCTGGTCATTATCACATTGCTGAGAGAGTTTTCTGTGTGCAAATTGGCTGCCATGTTTCCTATGTTTCCATGGTTCCTGCAATGAACATAGGTCATTAAGTATTTAATTAACTGTAAAGCACTTTAAGGTTGGAGTTCTGAAGAACAGTCTTATTGGACACAAAACGTTAGCTGTTTCTCTCTTTACACATGCTGCCGGACCTGCTGAGTATCCCCAGCACCTTCTGTTTTTATTTCTGATTTCCAACATCTGCAGTATTTTGCTTTTCTAAGCACTTTGTGACATCCAGTTGTTACATAAAGCACTATATAAATGCAAGTCTTTCTTTTTTATCATTCCATTTGTTCCTCCCAACCACCTTCCCACTAGCTGCACAATTTAGATTTCACGCATCTCGCTGAGATTAAATTTGCAATAAATTACATTTACACTTGAAAACACTCCTGCTCTTTCCCAACACTGTCACCTATATTCACTTTTGAAGTGCTGTGACCACAAATACAGTGCTCACAACAAGCCTGACCAGTCCACTGCAAACCCTTGGTAACTTTATTCGTCCAGTTCAGTGACTACTTTGAGATGCAGATTGACAAGACCACAACTCTAGATTCTCTATGCTGACCCTGCGACCTTTGTTGAATGTCTTATATTCATTTCCCCCTCCCGAACAAATACATTGCAACTGTCAGTTCCCCACTTAGAGTCATACAGCATGGAAACAGATCCTTCAGTCCAACTTGTCCATGCTGACCAAATATCTCAAATTAATCTAGTCCCATTTGCCAGCATTTGACCCATTTTCGCCTAAACCCTTCCTACTCATGTACCCATCCAGATGCCTCTTAAGTGTTGCAATTGTACCAGCCTCCACCACTTCCTCTGACAGCTCATTCCATACGCGCACCACCCTCTGCGTGAAAAAGTTGCCCCTTAGTTCTCTTTTAAATTTTTCCCCTGGGAAAAGTACCTTCGATACTGGCCCTATTCATGCCCGTCATGATTTCATGAACCTCTATTACACCACCACTCAGCCTCCGATGCTCCAGGGAAAACATCCCCAGCCTATTCAACCTGTGCCTATAGCTCTAACTTCAAAAATGAAAGTGTGCCAATGCTCTGTGCTTGTTACGACACCAAGACCATTATTTATGCGTCTGCTGGTGATCAGCTTGTGATAGAACGTTTTGTTATGAACAATTTAGGGGCCACAAACCTCATTGGAAAGTACTTATCTAAGTCCAGTAGAGATGCAAAGGGATCTGCAGCTCATATATGGAAAACATTAAGTGTAAAAGATTGATCAGCCGACAACAAAACAAAACACTGGGGTTTATAAATGCAGGGGCAGAATTGGAAAGTCGAAAAGTTCCATTAAACTTGCACAAAGTCTTGGTTAGTTAGACCATACTCAGAGAGAAACAAGATTATACTAAACTCTCACAGGACACTAGCTCAGACTCAGCCGGAGCTGTATCCAGTTCTGGACGTCGCACTATAGGAAGGATGACAGGCCACTGGAGAGGGTGCAGAAAAGGTTCGTGCGTGGATATGGAACTTCAGTTATGATGGTAAGTTGCAGATTTTAGAACTGTTTTCATTGAAGAAGGTAGAGAGACTTCAAAGGTGCCTTCACAAGCCTGAGGAATCTGGGCTGAGTGGATAGGGAGAAACTCTTCCCACTCATGAAGGGATCAGGAACAACTGCTGAAAGAAACAACATGGAATTGTGGAAACACATGTTTTCATGAAGCGGGTGGTTAGGGTCCGGATTGCACTGCCAGAGTGTGAGGTATAGCATACCCAATTGAAGCATTCTAAAGGGAATTAGATTGTTAGCAAAAAAGGATGAATGTGTAGGGTTACAGGAGAAGACAAGAGAAAAGGCACTAAGTAAATTGTTTGGTGCAGACAGAATGGGCCAAACTCTGGGGCTGTAATATTTCTATGATATTACAAAAAGGATGCAGAAAATGCAAAAACAGAAGATTTATTCGAATAATGTAAAGAGATGAAAGGTTAAAGCTATCAAGAAACGCTGAACAGTCCGAGTCTCTTTTCACTAGAGGAAGGCAGACCTGAAAAGAGTTTTTAAGATTGCATAGAGGTAACGTTTCCGTGCATGGGAGAGGCGGCAGAACTACAAGTCCTAGACTATCACCAATAATTGACAGTAAAAAACCAAAAGAATTGAGGAAACGGAAAGAACTGAAAGTTCTTCAGTCTGATGGGTCACCAGACCCGAGCTGTTAATGTTGATTTCTCTTCACAGATGCTTCAGACCTGCTGAGCTTTTCTGACAACTTCTGTTTTTGTAATAATAGACAGTATTTTGTTTTCATTGTGGTCTGAGTAACCTTTTTCATTTAATGACAGGAGGAACCTCAGAGGAACAAAGGGATCTTGGGGACCTTGCCCACAGATCCCTGAAGATGGCAGGACAGGATAATAGGTTTGTCAAGAAGGCATAAGGGGACACTTGCCTTCATCATGGTGGCACAGATTATAAGAACAGGGAGGTTATGCTGTAAATTAGAAACAAAAACAGAAGTTGCTGGAAAATCTCAGCAGGTATGGCAGCATCTGTGAAGAGAACAAGAACAAAGAACATTACAGTACAGGAACAGGCCCTTCAGCCCTTCAAGCCTGCACCGACATGCTGCCAGTCACGACTAAAACCCCCCACCCTTCCGGGGACCATATCCCTCTATTCCCATCCTGTTCATCTATTTGTCAAGACACCCTTTAAAAGTCACTATAGTATCTGCTTCCACTACCTCCCACGGCAGCGAGTTCCAGGCACCCACCACCCTCCGTGTAAAAAAAAACTGAGAAATCAGAGTTAATGTTTCAGGTCCGGTTACCCTTCCTCAGAACTCAGGGGACCTGACTGAGATGTATAAGATTATGAGCAGTACGCATAGGGTGGATGGGAAGCAGCTATTCCCCTTAGTTGAAGGGTCAGTAACATAGACTAGAATTTAAAAGATGAAATGCACAAGACTTAGAGAGGACTTGAGAAAATATTTTTCACCTAGAGGGTTGGGGGTCTGGAATGCACTGCCTAGGAGGGTATTTGAGGTGGGAAACCTCTCAACCTTTAAAAAGTACTCAGATGGCACTTGAAATGCCATAACATTCAAAGGTATGGGCCAAGTGCTGAAAAATGTGGATTCAGAATCATTTTTTGTTGGTGCTGGCTTAATGGGCTGACGGACCTTTTCAGCAACGTATAATTCTATGATGAATCTAGAAGGGGAGCTCGGATGAAACATCTTTACCCCGAGGGTGCTGAGAATGTGGAAATGACTGTCATGGCGACTGTGTTGAGGTGAACAATATAAATGAGATGATTGGGAGGCTGGATGAGTACATGAGGCAGAAAGGAACAGGAGGTTATAATGATGGAGCAAGAGGAAGTATTGCGAGAAGCAAATAATTTGCAGCATAAACATGGACCAGAAGGGCTGAATGGCCTGTTTCTGAAAGGAGTCACGAGTTTGATGGGTAACTGACCTCTTCCACTTTCTTGGACATACTCCGCCTGAGTGGGAAACTTTGCAAGGCATCAATACGAGGCTGAAAACAAACCAGGCTTCGGGTAAATAACAAAGCACACAGCACGTTTCTTTCAAGCAACATGTTCTCTGTTCTCCCAAAAATATCATTTTGTCAATTCTTTCCAGGACGTATAAGCAGTCCTGATGCTGGTAACAACTTCTTTCCCCCAGCTACTGCCTTGCCCATGGGGTCCATTATTATTCGTTCACAAGCCCAAGCACTGCAGGGCAGCTGTTTGCCCACAGTAGGCATCACAGACAAGCCTGGATTTAGTGCGACCCGATGCCGCTGTGTTCACGCACACCTGACGGATGGGATCAGTGGAAAGACAATGCCGGTTAAATTTATTCCTGCCTCAGCCAGCAGCAACAACACCAAACATAACGCCCATAGTACAGCTAAGGTTCGGCACAGAGCCTGGCATGGTCTGGTCTGTACATGGCATCACTTTCAGCAGTACAAGAAGTGTCACACCCAAACCAAATATTTCAAACTCACCTCTGACATGGGAGGATGCTGGATTTTTGGGGGGAGCAAGGCGTTAGTAATGATGCTACTCGACTAATAACTAGGGGAGGCAATGGCCTAATGATATTATTACTGGACTATTAATCCAGAGACCCAGATAACGTTCCGGGGTCCTGGGTTCGAATCCCATCATGGCAGAGGGTGGAATTTGAATTCAATAAAAATCAGGAATTAAGTGTCTAATGATGACCATGTCGATTTTTGGGAAAAACCCATCTGGCTCATTAATGTCCCTTTAGGGAAGGAAACTGCCATCCTTACCTGGTCTGGCCTACAAGTGACTCCAGACCCACAGCAATGTGGTTGACTCTCCACTGCCCTCTGGGCAATTAGGGATGGGCAATAAATGCTGGCCTGGCCAGTGACACCCTCATCCCGTGAATAAATAAAAGAAAACATCCGCGAGGCTCTTAGCTTAGTCCGTTGAATAAATGCAGAATAAACAAACCAGCCTTGTGATGGTGAGGAAGGAATTAAGACGTTAGTAATTAAGGATGGAAATCTGCCGTTCTTACTTGACCTTGCCTTCGCTGCCTTTATTACAAGGGGATGAGCTGTCTGGCTGCAATCAGACAGAGGTATGGTGATACCGTACCTGGGGTATTGCGTCTCAGACTTCTTACCTTAGTAAGAATATACTTGCCATTGAGAGAATGCAACTAAGGTTCACTAAACTAATTCCTGGGATGGAGGGATTGTAGTAAGGGGAAAGAATAAATAGATCACACTTTTATTCTCCAGAGTTTAGAAAAGGGAGGGGTGAAATCATCCATCAAAAGGAGAGGCATGGTGGCTCAGTGGTTAGCACTGTCACCTCACAGCGCCAGGGACCCGGGTTTGATTCCAGTCTCGAGTGACTGTACAGAGTTTACACATTCTCCTTGTGTCTGCGTGGGTTTCCTCTGGGGGCTCCAGTTTCCTCCCACAGTCCAAAGATGTGCAGGTGAGGTGGATTGGCCATGCTAAATTGGCCCACAGTGCCCAGGGATGTGTAGGCTAGGTGGGTTAGCCATGGGAAATGCAGGATTGCAAGGATAGGGTAGGTGTTGGGTCTGGATGGGATGCTCTTCAGGGGGTTGGTGTGGACTCGATAGGCCAAATGGCCTGTTTCCACACTGCAGGATTCTATGAATCTACGAAAGTCAGATGGAGCTAGTAATAAAACAGGGGAATAATACACAGCATGATAAAAGAAACAATGGAACAGAACAGCTCAAAAGGAGGCTATTCAGCCCATCAAGTCTGGGTTAACTCTTTTGCAGAGCATGCCAACCCCAAACCTAACCCTAACTGTTTCCCATATCCTTCCTCTTTCAAGTATTTATGCAACTTTCTCTAGGAAGTTACTATAGAAACTGCATTACCAGACAGTGTGCATCTCAAATCCTATCCAACTGATTAGTAAAGAGGTTTTCACTCTGATTCTTTCTCCAATCACCTGGAGTGCAGAAGAGGTTTATAAGAATGGTTTCAGAGATGGAAAACTTCGGTGTGACAATAGGTTCAGACTCATTTCCTTGGAGAGAAGGCTGACAGGAAACCTGATTGAAGTTTTCAAAAATCATGAAAGGTGCGGACAGAGTTGACAAGAGAAAGTTTTCATGCTTGCAAATGGATCATGGGCACAGATTTAAAGAGATTTGCAAAAGATGTAAATGTGATGTTAGAAGAAATCTTTACACAGAGAAACCGGGTAGGATCTGGGCTGCGCCACCTGCAAGTGTGGTCAAGGCAGATTCCAATCAGATTTTCCAGAGGGCTTTATTTCAATTTTTTTTTTTATTTGATTTAATTTACTATTGTCACATGTACCTAGATACAGTGAAAAGTTTGGATTTGCATGCAGTACAGGCAGATCATACCATACAAAGTGCATGAGGGTAGTAGAACAGAGCGAGGAATACAATGTTACAGCTGTGGTGAAGGTGCACAAACAGCAAGATCAACATTAAATTTAAAATTTGAGAGGTCCATTCAGAAGTCTAATAACAGCAGGGAAGAAGCTGTTCTTGAATCTGATGGTATGGGTGTTTAAGCTTTTGTATCTTCTGCCCACCAGGAGGTTGGAAGAGATTATAATCGGGGGAGAGGCTCATTGATTATGTTGGCTGCCTTCCTGAGGCAGCGAGAAGTATAGGTGGGATCAATGGATGGAAGGTTGGCTTGTGTGACAGACTAGGCTGTGTTCACATCTCTCTGTAGTTTCTTACAGTCCTCGGCAGAGCAGTTGCTGTACCAAGCTGTGAGACAATTGGACAGAATGCTTTCTATGGTATATCTATAAAAATTGATAACAGTCTTATATTTAGATGATAATGTGCAAGGTTACAGGAAGAACAAGTCATGATGCTCATCGAAAGCGGTTTCGGCCATATTGGTAGAATGGTCTTCTCCTGTCCCGTATTAATTCTGTGATTGAGTGACCTACAATCTCTTGTTACTAATCCTTCATGTGATGGAAACAGTTTCTCTTTGTTTACTCTGTCAAAACCCTTTCTGATTTTAAAGATCTCTAACAAATCTGTTCTTAGTCTTCTCCGCTCTAAAGGAAGTAATAACAGCTTCTCTGGTCTCTGATTCCTCAGCGAACCACAGTTGTAAATCTCATTCCAGAATTCCTCACTGACCATAGAGCAGGTCACACTCAGCCTGTCTGCAACAGGCAGACTGAGCACGCAGTCTAAAAGACCACGATTCAGTCTAAAAATCAACAAGCCACTTCCAGATGTACCAGGCAGCTAAATGATCAGGAAACAGTACAAAGCAGCGTCATGCCATGCAGCGCAGCATAAGGTGTAATCTGAGCAGGCCTCATTTACCTGCAGTGACTTTGACTGCGTTTTTGGCTCTTTCTCCAGTTGTGCCTCCCGTTCCAACGAGCTCAGAGAAACTCTGCTCCTCAGAGACGGTCTTCTGCTGGTCTGCACGGAAATTCATGGAAGTTAGTTTCAAATCAAGCAATGGACCTGAAGATGTGAAACTCAAAAATTGGCTCAGAATCCAATCTCTCTCCTGGCTAAAGGAGGTGACGCACTCGTCGAGATTGGCTTCCATAACAACAGCCCATATTTACAGAGCGTATTTTAGAGAACACACTAAGTGAACAAAGATTTTGTTGAAGGGGTAGGTTTTAAGGTAAGTCTTAAAGGACGAAGTGAGGTAGAGGGGTGTAGAAATGGTTTGATTTTATTTGTACATCGGGTGTGAGCATTGCTGGCTGGGCCAGTATTTATCACCCATCCCTAAATACCCTGCAGAGGGTGCTGAGCTGCTTCTCCAACTGCAGCAGTCTTTGGGGTGTGCAGATATTCACAATGATGTTATAGAGTCACAAAGATGTACAGCACAGAGGCAGACCCTTCAGTCCAGTCGTCCATGCCAACCAGACATTCTTTATTAATCTAGTCCCATTTGCCAGCACTTGGCCAGAATCGCTCTAAACCCTTCCTATTCATATACCCATCCAGATGCCTTTTAAATGTCATAATTTTGTGCCTCTACCACTTTCTCTGACAGTTCATTACATACATGGACCACCCTCTGTATGAAAAAGTTGCTCCTTAGGTCCCATATAAATCTTTCCCCTCTCACCTTAAACCTATGCCCTCTAGTTTTAGACTCCCCCACCCTGGGGAAAAGACCTTGGCTATTCACCCTATCCATGCCTCTCACAATTTTATAAACCTCTATAAGGTCACTCCTCAGCCTCCAAATCTCCAGGGAAAATAGCCACAGCCTTTCCAGCCTCACCCTATAGCTCTAACGCTGGCAACATCCTTGTAAATCTTTCCTGAACCATTTCAAGTTTCACAACATTTTTCCGATAGCAGTATGAAAGGGAGCACCAGCATTTTGACCCAGCAACAGCAAAGAATCAGTAATACGGTGCCAAATCAGAATGGTGTGTGACTGAGACAACCACTTTCAGATGACGATGTTCCCATGAATCTGCTGCTGTTGTCTTTCTACTTGAACGGGCTCAACGACCAAGACCCCACAGTTCTCTGGGACAGAGACTTCCAGAGGGTCACTATTCTCTGAGAGAAGAGATTCTTATTCATCACTGTCTTAAATGGTTTGCCTCTCTTTCTCAGGCTGTGCCTACTGGATCAGCACCCTCCCCTCCCTCCCCACCCAGCCATAGGAAACATCCTTTCTGTGTCTACCCTATTCAGACCTGTCAGAAATTTGTTTGCTTTGATAAGATCACCTCTCATTCTTCTAAACTTTATTGAAATGTTTTTGCTTCAATTTGGTCAGCTATTTAGGATTGCTCCTTTCTGCCTCATTTCTTCATATGATTGAGCAGCTCAATTTGCGACACACATGTGGGGCATTTGGGCTCGTGGGGGCAGATCATCCCACCAAATGGTGGGACCCAGAATGCAGAATTCGCCTCCTTTTTGTTCTGTTTCTATCACAGCTGTGCCTCACCATTAACAGTATTCAGACTCAAAGCGTGATGGACACTCAGTGGGAACAAAACCTGTAATATTTGAAAAGAAGTGTTCTAGTTGTACTTGAGATCCATTCTGAGATGTATGAGAGAAGCTGGAGCAGAATGGATCATTCACAAGGTTTACTGGTTTATCCAGTGGTATATTGGCAACTAGATATTTTTTGGTAAAATCAGATAGTACTTTATTGCTTGTCATAGAGTCATACAGCATCGAATGTTGGTCCAACCAATCCATGCCAAGCATAATCCCAAACTAAACTAGTCCCACCTGTCTGCTCCTAGCTCATATCCCTCCAAACCTTTCCTTTTCATGAACTTATTCAAATGTCTTTTAAACATTTTAACTGTACCTGCATCCACCACTTCCTCTGGCAGTTTGTTGCACACATGAACCACTTTCTGTGTAAAAGGGTTGACCTTTGTGTCGTTCTTAAATCTTTCTCTTCTCATCTTAAAAATGTCCCCTAGTTTTGAACTCCCCCAGCCTAGGGAAAGAGACGCTTGCCATTCACCTTAACTATACCCCTCATGATTTTATAAACCTCAATTAGGTCACCACTGTACCTCCTACACACCAGCCTTTCCAGTCTACTTTTATATCTCAAACTCCTTGCAACATCCTGGTGAACGTTTCTGAACCCTCTCCAGTTTAATAATATCCTTCCTATAGCAGGACGACCTGAACTGCGCATATTACTCCAGAACAGTGCAGAGATATGGACGGTGCTATATCAGTGCAAACTCCTTCCTCTTTCAACGTCCCGTTTGTAGTACATCAGGAGCTCAGTCGCATCACTAGTTGGCGCATGGCGCACGACTGCATCTTGTGTTAGGCTTTTGCAGAAAAGAAAAGGTTTTAAAGGGAAAATACCAAGGTGGTGATGACAGAACTTACACCCTTCCCAACCTCAGCATGTACCATCCCTCAGTCACTCACCATCTTCCTTGCCTAGGCGACAGAAGGCTCCGCTTCTCGTGCCAACACCAAGCAACCCCAGGTCAAGGGTCAGAGGTGAGCCGGGACACACAAACCCGCTATCCTGCATGCCCCAAAGTGGCGCCGGTACCATCTTTATTAGGGGCACGTGGACGCCATCTTCTGTATCTGCAGGTGTCGCGCGTGTTGAGGAGCTCCATCTTTGTTAGGGGCGACGAGCGGAAACGGTCTGTCGGCCATTTTCCATTCCGACCGTTGCGCGCCCCGCAACGCCATCTTTGTCGGGGGTTATGTGATGGACTCGGAAGGCTCACCGCTCCCTTGTGTTTGCTTTGTGGGCCTCGAAGACCCGAGGAGGTAGGTCTCTTTCCAGCTGTTGGTGATGCTGTTGAAGATCTTATAAATGGGTTGTTAGTGTTTGTTTTGGGCTCCAACCGAGGATAAAATTGCGCCCTCTGCGGTGGGAGGCCTAAAACGTCCATTTCTCCCATGCCCCCACAATTTTTTTAAATGTATGAAGGGACGCAAACTCATAAACTGTATTAAATAATATAATAATAACAAAATTAAATATTAGCAAAATAACCATTCCCTGCTAGTGAGCTGTGACACCATCCATGGAGGGGTACCAATGGACACATACTGCCAGCAGCTGTTGACCCAAGTTTTTAGGACCCTGACACACCCAGTACAAACTAAATGATTAAAGCACAGAAAGTTCATTGGAAAAAAAAAACAGCAAAACCTGGGAATAAATGTAGCAGGAGGATGCCAGTTGGTTCTTGAGCCTGTCCTGACCTGCTATCCCTGGGATTAGGTAGATTTAGAATTAGGTTTTATTGTCATGTGTGCAATGTCGCCATTCAGGGCGCCATCTTAGGTACAAAGGTACCGAGGTACGAAGATAGGTAAGAATAAAGAAGTAAGTTAAAAGCTTCATCACCAAATTTCTTCTTAGTATAAGTAGAAAAATAAAGAAATAAAGTTAACTGTTAATCATTACAGTCCATTCTTAAGCCATTGGCCTGCAGTCACTTCATGCTGGGCTTTCCCCAAGAGGGCTCACTTTCCCCTGCACTGGGCACGCTTTCACCGACACTGGGCACGTTTTCACCCACACTGGGCATGCTTTCACCTGTGCTGGGCACACTTCCATTCACGCTGGGCTAAGTCTCGCCCGGGCTCACCAGCTGTTTTGCCGCTGAATACTGCACCACTAATGACTGCCATCTGGGCCCAAGCCACTGCCACGCTCTGTTGTCGCTGTTGCCTCCACGACTGGCTGCTCTCCAGAAGGTAAGTGCAAAAATTTAAAAAGATTAAAAAGAGAAAAAAGAAGCTAGGAAAGAAGAAAGAAAAAAGCAAAGCAGAAGGAATGCATGAGACCTGATCTCAGACGCCTCTACTCCGCCACTGCCATCTTAATGTAAGTAGGACGAGGGGGCAGCAGTGCTGGGGTAGTGGTAGTAGATGAACAGGAAGGCGATGGCCTAGTGGTATCATCACTAGACTATTAATCCAGAAACTCAGCTGATGTCCTGGGGACCCAGGATCCCACCACAGCAGATGGTTGAATTTAAATTCAATTTTAAAAAATCTGGAATTAAGAATTTACTGTTGACCATGAAACCATTGGCGATTGTTGGAAAAAAAAAACCCATCTGGCTCACTGATAGTAGGAATTGCAGATGCTGGAGAATCTGAGATAACAAGGTGTAGAGCT